TCGAGCGATGGTTTGCAAAAGCCGTCCAGAAAAAAACCAAAAAACAAAGCAAAAGCCCTCGTCTTCGATTTCGACCGCGTTTTCGGATCCCGCCACGTTCTCGCCCTTATTTTTCGGATTCTGTTTTTCATCTTACCTGATTTCTGGAACCGTTGTTCCCCGGACTCGATCCCGGTCGTCGTCCCTGCGGCCGACTCCTCCTCCTCCGGGGCCTCCGCTCCGCCGACGCAATGCAGTGAGCTAAGCGGACAAACTGGTTGCATCGGGAAAGCCCTCCACACGGAGGCGAGCCGTCGGCCGGCGAGCGCGAAGAGGAGGAGCGGAGCGGCGCCACACCGCCCCGCAGCGTTCACTCGAAAAAACTAAACGCTTCCGTACGTACCTCCGGCCACGTAAATCGTGCCCTCCAGAAACGTCCGTGGGGCTACGTTTCCAGAATGAGCTTGGGTTGGTAGCACCAGCCAACTAGAAGGAAGCTAAGCTCCATGTCAAAAGAAAAACAATTGCTGTGCCTTTCTCCTTAATCCAGAGATGCGTGCACTTATTCCGCTCTGCTAGTGAGTCCCTCATCTAGCAAACTTAGAGAGTTCCACCAAGGCCCCCAACACCTGACTTGGTAGAGGAGCAGGGTGCTTGGCCTATTACGTTGCCCGCTATGCCCTCTTGGTCAACCTGCATTTTGGGGATTGGTCCCAGCTAATGTGCTAATCCCATATGGTGCTCCCCCTGTATATGCTCATGTTGTCACTGTGTTTCCCCGTTTGGGTAGCAAGTGGCCTCCACAGTGTCATTCCCCTTTGGGACTGGCATTTTTCCCTTAATGTACTGTTGTATATCTAGAAGTCCCTAGCCTGCAGTTAGCTAAAAGATTTGAATGAGCCACTAAATTTTTAATAATCTCATAATTTGGTAATCATTGCCTGGGAACATTGGAAGGTTGCACCTATTGCTCACACTATTTGCTCAGTTCACCCGCTATTTACATACACTCCCCATAATGTCATTCTAACATATTTTTCTAACATATAATTGTCTGTTGAGTGTTTGATATGCATTCTTTTGTGAGATGATCCTATAGTCTTATGTTCATTAGTCATTGAATTAAAGAATGCAATTAAATCTTTCTTAATTAAGCACCTTATGTAGCTGCTACCATAGAAATTTCATAGGTTTCTTCATGGCATTTTATATTCGGGTTTTCCACACATGAGATATTCCATCACTAAACCATGATTGCATGGCAACTCCAGCTTTTGCTTAATCTACTTTTCAAATGACTTTCGATCTTTCGGTGCATCCCTACCGAATAAAGCTCAGTTGTGTTTTTTAGAGCTCTGGAGGATGTCTTCAAAATGTTCTTGCTCAGATAGAGAACATTACAGCTGAAGTGCTTCCACTGAATGTAAGAGAAAAATAATTAAATCTATGCCATATTCATCTGACATACATTGATAGTTTTATCTTATTGTCTGTCAATACATTCACATGTAATTGTTATTGCTTGATCAATGAATTAGATAGTGACGGACATTTTGGCTATGGCCTTCAATGAATCTGAGAAGATTTCAGTGTCTTCATCATCATCATCATCATCATCGTCATCATCATCATCATCATCAGCATCCGCCAGTCCAGCTCAACTAGCCTCCAGTGGAAACCGTGTGTTAAAAACTAGCGAGAAACTCATTTCAACATTGGTGAAGCGGACAGAAACAAGTGCCACTGTCAGTTTCACTCTTGCAGCTGTAGGTAAGTGGAGACACTGTTATTATTGATGATGAACCTGAGATTATATATCAGAGACTCAATCACTCCAGCTCAGACCTGCTCCTCTTTAACTTGCTCAACTTTAGTAAACATTACACAATGGAAATTGGCAATATTTAATTCATTCTGTCATATACTATGTTTGATTCAGAAACTGATTCCAAAAAAGTGAAAGCACAATTTACAATTACTGGGAATTTAAGGCTGAATGGTTAGGTAGTTGGACTTCCAAAGGTTGCAGGTTCGATTCTCAGTACTGAGAGGAACTGAAGGTTATGGAGTAAATAAATACTCCATCTAAAGGCAAGGACACACCAAGCCGACAGTTGGCAATTGGGCAGATTCAAGCTGGTGGTGGGGTCAGTTCAGCTTGTTGGTTTGGTGTGGTCTACTTGTCACCTCCCATTGGGTTAACATCAGAGCAAGTTGGCTGTTCAAATTTGAAAAAATCTCATGTGCATCAATGCTACAGAAAGTTATAATATGGGGCCCCATTCCCAACTGCCACAAATAACAATACACAAAGACTAGGGATTCACACAACAGAGGTTTATTGAATGACGCACAGGAAAATAACAGAACCCAAAGTGGTAAGCAGAGATCAGATACAGTTAACTTCCTTTTGATTTTTTTGCAGTGTTGGTTGATCAACCAAGAAAAAAAGGCAGATAAATCAATAGAGGGAAGGGATCTGGTAGGAAGCTGTGATCTGTTTTGTGGGTGTGGATTATTAGAATTCATGATCTGACCAACCCAGAGGCAGTACTGTTATATCGTTGCAAGTCTATGAAGGTTCTCACTCAATTTATGTGCTCAGTAAAGTCATCTATGTGAAAAAAAAGGATTACTGGCACCAGATACTATGGATGGAGAAACAGTGGACTGAGCATATGTGGCTTGAACAAAGAGATATGAAATGAAGGGAAGATATGATATTGTAATGAAAGTTTGACATACTAACTTTATCTGCTTCTGAATAGTGAAAAGACCAATAAGGTGGGAACCTACTGCAGGAGTATCAGAGTTTGATGTCTTTTGTCGAGAGCCAGACACTTGTGCAGGGTAGTGTAAGGAAGTTGTCCCTTGTTGAATATCATCATATTGCTTTTTTAACATGAACATGGGCAATTCCCAAGACCCTCTCATTCTCTTGGAATTAGTGATCAAGTGCAGGGGCATCTTATAGCTCCCCTTGCTAGAGGAAGAGTGGTGATTCATAGTCCAAATGTGCACAGGAGTAGTGTTGAGCTGGTGGACTCTTTGCTGAGTTCTGTGCATGATCTGTCTAAGGTAGGTAACCGCTTCAAGTCTGTTGATGGTTCTGTAAGTATCTTATTTTTAGTCAAGCCCTGTAGAATTACTGTAACTATGCAAAAGAAAAAGCTTGCCATATTCAGGTTATTAACTGGGAATTTCGGTTGGATGCAATATATTTGGGAATTACAAAAGAGTTGATAGAAGAGAATCTCTGCTGTTTCCAAAGCTGTAAGTTATTCAAAGACTGGAATGCGCTTGCATATCCACAATTGCCAGAACACAGATTTTGGTATTAGAAGAGAATTGGTCGGTGATGAAATTAGTTCCCAGATGGGACCTAGGTCAAAGGGAATGGGTAATGAAAGCAGAGGAAAATGAGATTTTCTAGGCAGTTTTCAAACAAGACTTGACAGTGAATGAGTGGAGAATATATGGAAGTGTTGATAATTAGATTTTATATTCAAGTGAAGGAGTACATGGAGTTCCAGGATTTGGTGCACACAATGACTGGTGACTGGCTAAGTGACTCAATATAAATGTTGAGGTGTTTTAGACATGGCACAGACTTTAGATGTACATGGTGATACTGCCGGTCATTTAAGGCCACCAGTAGTGGAGCTTGAGTAGTGAGAGGGTTGATCTGCAATCTGGGTGTCCAGAGCCTGGTACTTCATCAAGGTGTCTAAATGTCATTCAATGGTACAGACAATGAGCTTGGACTGGACAATGGTTTCAAGTCCACTGTTATCATCAGGAGAGTATTTGAAAAAGAGGGCCCGTAGAACTTGGTGAGGGATAAGATGTTTTCACATCATTCAAGTATTTATGATCAGCGATGGCTGTAAAGGGATGTCATGCCCCCTCCAGCCAGTCTCACCACTCTTCCAGGGTGATGGCCAGGAGTTCTTAATTGCCAATGGAACATTTTTTCCAAGAGATAGTTTCCTGGACAAGTATGTGCAAGGGTGGAGGCATGGAAGACCACCGGACTACTTTCAAGGGAGCAGAAGGTCTGGATAATGTAGCAGGAGGGCCGTGCATTTCTTTTAGTAGCTGGATTGTTTTGTGGGCAGCAAGGTTCCAAGTGAGGGTCTCTGAATTTCCTTTTAGGAGTGAGGTAGCTGGAAAGGTAATGATACTGAAACTGAATGTAACATTTACAATTACGCATTTAGCAGATGCTTATATCTAAAGCGACTTACACCTGTGAACACACAACCAGGGAGCAGTTGGGGGTTCGATGCCTTGTTCAAGAGAATCGCCTCACCTGTGGTACTAAGGGGGATATTCCCATCAACAAACCCTGCTGGTTCTGGGACTCGAACCTGCGACCTTTGGATCACAAGTAACAACTAACAATTAGGCCATGGCTGCAGAAATTGGCAAAGCCCTGGAATCATTGTAACTCTTTCACTCTGTGGTTATTGAAGGAAGGATTGGAGAGCGTTTGTCTTATAGGTTGTCGGTCAAGCCCATTCAACTGTGTGGAGCACACTCCAAATTGCACAATGTTTTCAGAAGTAGGGTGTGGTTATAAGGTGTCTGGTGCATATGGAGTGGAAATGGTGTCTTCTACATGTAGCTTGTCAAACCCACTAAACATTGCACAATGTTTTCCAGAAATAAGGAGTGTTGGTCAGAAAGTGGTGCATATTGAGAGCGAGAGAGATGATGATGATGATGATGTATATATAATAAATTATAACATAACATCGTGTTTGTTGGTAATCAGAGGGACAAGTCTTCATGGTTGGACCACAGGTGACCTTAGATAAAATCCCTCAACTTACCACAACAAATTCTTCTGTAGACATCGATCTTATTGGCATCGCCAAGAACAGCAATGAAAGTAAGTTAATTGTTTGGTGTATGTTTTCTTAATGTATAATCAAGACATTACCACAAAACCAGATTTATTTTTGACAATTGTTAATTAAATAGTTTTGTATGTAAGCATCTGTTTCTGTCTCACAGAATCTGCTGCTGTGGCTTTCATGAGCTACACCACAATGGAGAATCTACTGAAGGCCGACTTCTTCAACACAACTAATGACACCATTAAAACCATGATGTCCACTGTGATCTCAGCTACTCTTCCCAAAACCAGCAACACTGCACTCACCAAAGCAGTCAACTTCACCTTCAGACACATCAGAGTGAGAGACTGAAATGTGTTTTAGTCCAACATCAGCACTGATCAACATCTGAACACATCTAATATTCACTCTGCTCATATTTTCTGCTTGTTTCTTCTTCTTCTTGCAGGAGTTTGAGCCCAGCGGTTCTCTGTCCTGTGTGTACTGGAATATCAGCGAGTGGATTGTAGATGGTTGTTCTGTGTTAAACAGCAACAGCAGCCACACTGTGTGTTCCTGTGTTCATCTGTCCACATTCGCTCTCATCATGCAGACCAGCAGCAGTCCACCAGAATCGGTACCAGAACATTTCTAGAGAGCATTGAAGAGCAGCACAGATCTGGCACTCATGTTCTCTGCATGTTTTCTCAGAGCGATCTGCTGGATCTGCTGAATCTGGTGTGTGTGATCGTGGGTCTGGTGTTCTTCAGTTTGGCTCTGTTGTCCTTTGCTCTTTGTCAGTGGAGTCCTGGAGTCAATAATGTGGCTCGAATCAACATCTGCATCAGTCTGCTGTCGGCTCACCTTCTGTTGCTGCTCACACAACAGTTCCTGAGCCTCATTCGCCCTCAGCAGGTGAGAATGATGAAGGAGCTCTACAGCTCAGCACAGCCGCACTGAGAATCATCATAACCCTCTCTCTCATGCTCTCCAGGTGTTGTGTGTGGTGATAGCAGGCCTTCTGCACTTCCTCTTCCTCTCCGCCTTTGTGTGGATGTTCATTGAAGCTGTGCTGCTCTTCATCTGTGTCAAGAACCTATCAGAGATCAGCTCCAGACAGAGGGAGGTGCTTAGCAGTGGGTTCCTGTGTGTGATTGGATATTTGGTTGCTCTGGTTGTGGTGTGTGTGTCTATTGGGCTGGTTCCAGAAGGATACGGCAGTGAACAGTGAGTGGTATTGTTCATTGACTGTTTTCTCCTTTCTGATTAAAAATAAATTTGTTAACAATGTCACATTCCAGCTTAAAATCTGTAACTATCTGTTCTTCTATATCAATGTATTAATTTACTATATTGTGTTTTCCTCTAATCAGATGCTGGATTAAATATGATAAAGGGTTTATCTGGAGTTTTCTGGGTCCTGTTTGTGTCATACTAGCAGTAAGTTTTAGTTACAGACATTTTTGTTTCATGACCTGTTCAAATCAACAAAAATCTAAACTGATCATTTCTTAATCTTTCTACAGCTGAACTTGATTCTCTTCATCAGGATCGTCATCATTCTGAAATCAGCTCTCACAAAACTGAACGCTGAAGTTTCACAGACGAAGCAAACCAAGTAACAAACATTCTGAGTTAATCGCTTTCTGAAAATAACAGTTAGTACAGACTAAATCTCCCTTTCTGTTTCTCTGCAGGGTTATGGTGTTTAAAACACTGGGTCAGTTTGTGGTTCTTGGTTGTCCTTGGATTCTGGGTTTCTTCACTAATGGCAATGAGATGCTGGAGATCCTCTTCCTGATCTTGAACTCTCAGCAGGGAACCTTCATCTTCCTGATCTACTGTGTGCTCAATAATGAGGTCAGACATTTTTAATCAAAATCTATATCTATGCTAAAACCTCTGTTTATCTAGGTGTTGTCAGGTGTTCCTACAGCTATCAGTGCTTATCTATTGAGCTAATTTGCACAGTTAAGTAAATCTGGCTGCTAGACTTTTAAAATTTTTGTTTACCTTTTTCTAGTGACATTATCATTGATGAGATTCAGAGCTTAAATTGTTCTCACTCAGCTCTTCTCATCTCATTCTTGTCCAGATCAGGCAGCAGTACTGGAAGTGCTTCACATTTCTGTGCTCTGGACGCAAACAGCGCTGAGCATCATGTTCAGGACAATCCAAGTGATTTAAAAACTAGAGACAGGGTTTTGCATGCTAAATGTCACATGATAAAACAACAGTCAATACTATTCATGTATAACCTGTCAGCTTTTTTATTTCATCTATAAGGATTTAAGATTTCTATGTGGAGGGGAAAAATGTTTACTGACTTCTGAAGAACCGTAACTCTGTACAAGTTTCTGTTTGCTAAAAGAGCGAATGAAATAGATTATTTACTGTTATTTTATTGTGTTAAGCGCAGGGAAACACTTTAGTTTAAGTACCAAAAATCCATTTCCTGCAGTTCTTGACTGTACACAAAGCAGCATTGTGCTTATGAACATTGCTTTACATGTGATTATGCTGAGGCAGGATTAAAGTGTCCTGCCTTTGAAGCTTTTCTGGAACTGTAGGTTTCCCTCAGGGATATAGTCAAATCTAACACACTCCAACCCCAGCACAAATCCAAATATTTGCACAAATCAGTTTCTATTTATCTCTTCTAGTAAAAATATATGATAAATTCTGTTATTTGCATCTTATCTACACTTTGTTGATGTGTATAATGTTACAATTTTATTTCATGGTGTCTGTTGTTATTTGTATTGATGTTATTTGAGATGTATGCACATTGCAATGCTCTAGATTTGCTGATTTATTTGTAGTGTATACGTGGCTTCTCAGTGCACATGCTCATCATAAAGCTCAGCAGTTATATTGTTGTCGTTGTCACTCTCACTCTTGAACAGCAGCTTTGCAAGTTTTGCAAGCCTTTTTTACATTTATAGGTGAAAACATTATAAACTGAAAACAAAGAACCTCTTCTAGGTTAGCTGTCCCCTGTTAAATCCTCAAATTTTCTAAAAAACTGTGAAGCTCAATTAGAAAAACAAGTTAACAAGAGCATTCTGTTCATTAAAAATACATAAAACTTAAGACACTATGCTGATGTTGGACTTAGGGTGCTTTCACACCTACACTTTTGTTTCGGAACGTATCTCGTTTGCCCAGTTAGCGCGGTTCGTTTGGCATATGTGAACAGGGCAATCGCGCTCTGTTCCGCGCCAAAGTAATCGCTCCGAGATCGCTTGAATGAGGTGGTCTTGGCTCGATTGAAACGAACCCTGGAGCGGTTCGATTGTAGTGAGAAAGCGATCCGATCCGAGCGCGGTTATATCACAGTGTTTTATGGATATGTAATAGGCATACGGCTATATGAAGAGAGAATTATGAGTAGGGCGGGAAGTTTCGCGAGTCTCCGGATGCCCGCAAACGAGTGATGATCTCCCGGTAATCTTGCGTCTCCCTCCTGGTCCTCAAATAGGCATCGTCGCGCACCCTTCTCACCCCTCCCCACCGCATCGCACGCGCACCCTGTCAATCACCACCAAACCACCACCTCTCCTGACAGCTGAGCGGGACGCTGCAAAATAAACCCTGACACTCTGACCAATGTGAGGAGAGTAGGGTTGGGCATCTAAGCTATAATGCCGATCCGATACGCATCTCGATACAAAGAATACGATCCGATATATTAGCGATACATTTATGACATATTGCGACACGATACGATTCACACCCATATCACGATACAATGCGATAATTCAGCACTAACTAGTAAATCAAGTTTATGAGATTATGTAAAAGAGGATGCTGTGCCATTGAATGAGTTTGATTATTTATTAACCAAGCAAAACCAAGACTTTTTTTACAAACTGGCTCTTCTCTCAGAGCCAGAGTGTCAGTTTACAGTAGAGGGCCATTTTAGAACATATAGCACATATTATTTAAGTATTTTCAAGATAAACAGTATGTATAAGTGCAATATATATTAAAATATGTATATATTTGCACTCTTTCAACATAAAGGTTGAGCATTGCACAACAAGAATTGTGATTTAACTTTTCAACTATATGAAAACAAGTTTTACAAAGATATATTGTGCCACTGAATATTCAAAACTTAAGGTCATGAACTAGCAGTGTTATGCTGCGTTGAAACATCACTGTCACTGTAAACAACAGGCTAATACAAATATAACAAACCAGCAATCTTCTTGCTGTGAGGTGGTCAAACTACCCACTGTGCCACCGTGACACCCATTATTTTTATCATTATTATTATTAATATTATTATTATTATTATTATAATTAAATAAAAATTAACAGGAGGAGGTGTTTAAAACCGCCTAGTGCGGCAGTATAGAGAGGGCGGCGTCCACAACACCCAGTTATATCCGCGCATAGGGTGGCAGAATAGAGGTCCGCGACACCCGCGCGTCCTCAGTTATATCCGCGCATAGGGCGGCAGAATAGAGGTCCGCGACACCCGAGCGTCCTCAGTTATATCCGCGCATAAGGCGGCAGAATAGAGGTTCACGACACGTCACTTCATTTTCATAACCGGTCACTTTCGTTTTCACATTGGGGTTGAGGGCGGCGTGATCGTCCTCTGCCTAGAGCAGCAGTTCAGCTTGCTCCGGCCCTGCAGATGAACAATGCAATAGCATTCGTTATTGGCGTAGAGCGCACAAAACTTTTGCGCATGGAAAAAAAACTTGCAATGCTTTTCTCACCACCTTTGGAGCTGGTAGCTACAGTTCAAGCAGTGCGAAAGCCGGGGATGTAGGAACACTGGAAGATGCTTTCACAACAACACCGTGGCGCCGCTTCAAGTGAGATTTCAGATTAGTCGTACTTTACCCGCGTATTTTACAGATGCGCGGCACATTTTGCAAATCGCATCTGTCCTGTCAAGTCGTCCATCTTTAAATCCATAATGTTGCCATACTTTAGATTTAAAACTCAGTGGGGAATAAAATGTTTGTTTTGCTTCTCGCGCTTTCTGAGGGCGCTCCACTAGCTTCATCCGCACACCTGATACACTGAGTTGTAGTGTGAGTGTACACATCCGCAAATCCGTTGCTAAGGCTTACTTTATGTAGGTCGATTAAATTATGCGCCAAAAACAGGTTGACAACACTTGTTAATAAATAAAAAATACATTCTATATTAAAAAAATAAGCTGTATCTCGGAAAAACCGATGCATCTCACAAAAACCGATGCATCTCGATTTGCTTCCAAAATTTCATTCATCCTCTGCTGCTCAACCGATGCACTCGCATCGTGCACGCGCATGACCGCGTATCGATACATATCGATTAATCTTCCCATCCCTAGAGGAGAGTTTACTCGCACGTGACTTGTTTTAGCTCTATTGGTCCGATTATAAACTTTGTAGTGTGAAAGCGAACCACTCCAAGAGCAAAGAGCAACAATGTAACAATTGTAATCTCTGTTTCGGAACAACTGAATCGATTTACAGGTGTGAATGCACCCTTAAACAGTAAAAAAACACTTAATACCCTGAGCTTTATACCTTTTAACCCACCCATGTAGTGCCATCTCCGGTAAAAAAAATAATTAAAAAAACAAATGCTCTAATGATGTTTCTAAAAATACACTACAAAGGAACTGGACATGGGATTTTTGTTGTTTTTGCACTGGCTTTAAAATTTGAATTTGACAGTGAAACAATACAGACCATAGGAGGAACTTGGAAACATATTTACATGAACAGACAACATTTCTTTATACTGCTCAACACAAAGAGGTATTGTATTAGTTAAGAAGTCTATCTTGTCAGTTGAGGATCACTCATTATCAGCTCATATCAGGTAAGATGTACTTTTCTGTTCATAATGATCTTTGTAAAATGTTATACGCTTCAGCAGGTGTTTTTCTGTGTTCATGTGTTGATGTGTGATCGTTTTTAAGTAACAAATGGTAAAGCCAATGCAAAGAGGAAAGGTCATGTGGAGTTTTAAAGTTTTTTTCTGTAACAAAACAAAAACAAGAACTGAAAAAAGCAGGAAACTAGAATACGTAAACAATAAACTGTTAACATTGGCATTCAAAGATCAACAAACTCAGACTAAATTACAAGAGGGCTAACCAGAAAAATAGAAAACAAAGGGGTGAATACAGGGAACACAAAGGGGGCAGTGAGACAAGGCAAAGCCAGGTTGAACCCAGCAAAATAGAGCTAGCAGGGCAGGAAACCACTTCACTGGGGCTAAGGACAACCACTGTGGCACAGGCGGCACCAGATCTGAAGCGGAGCCATGGACTAAAACAGCCTCTGGAATGGAGTCACGAACTGAAAGAGCGCCAGAAGTCAGCAGTGGCAGACAGTATAGAAAGAGACTCTGGACCGGTGGCTGGGTTGGGGTTCTTCTAGGGAAGAGACTCTGGTCTGGTCGTCATCTCAAGAGGAGACCCTAGGCTGGTGACCATCTTGGGAAAAGACTTTGGGTTGGTGAACATCTTTGGAAGAGACCCTGCACTATCTTGGGGTTAATCTAGAGAAGAGATTCTGGGTGGGGGTTAATCTAGGGAAAAGCCTGTGGGTTATGGTTAATATAGGAAAGAGACTCTGGATTGGGGTTAATCTAAGGTAGACACTGTGGGTGAGGGGTAATCTAGGGAAGGCACACTGGGTTGGGTTTCATCTATAGAAAAGACTCTGGGTTGGGGTGCATCTAGGAAAGAGACTTTGGGTTGTCTGCTATATTGTAAAAAGACTCTTTGCTGGTGGTCATCCTGAGAAAAGACCCTGGGCTAGTGGGCATCTAATGAAAATACTTTGGTTTGGTGAACATCTTGAGAAGAACCTCTGGGATGTTGGCTATCTTAAGAAGGGACCCTGCGCTGGGGTTAATCTAGGAAAAGGTCTCTCTGTTGGGAAGATACTGGACTGGGTTTAATCTAGGGAAGAGTTTCTGGGTGGGGCTTACTCTAAGGAAGATGCTATGTTGGGGTTAATCTAGAGAAGAGTTTCTGGATGGGGGGGGGGTAAATCTAGGGAAGAGCCTGTTGGTCAGGGGTAATCTAGGGAAGAGTCTCTGGGTTAGGATTAATGTAGGGAAGGCACTCTGGGTTGGGGTGCATCTAGGGAAGAGACTTTGGGTTGACTGGTAACTTAGAAAAGACTCTTGAGGTCATAATAAGAATATTCCTGGACCAGTTAATCTAGATAAGAGTCTCTGGGTGGAACTCTAGGAAGGAGCCTGTGGATCAGGGGTTCATCTAGGGAAAAGACTCTGGTTTGGGGGTAATCCAGGTTAGGCACTCTGGGTCAGGGTTAGTCTAGGGTAGACAGTCTGAGTTAGGGTACATATAGGGATGAGACTGTGGATTAACTGTTATTGTCGAAAAAGACTCTTGGGTGGTGATCATCTTGAAGAGCCTCTGGGTTGGTGACAATCTTAGGGAAATACTTTGGGTTGGTGATCAGCTTGAGAAGGTCTTGGGAATAAACCCTGGGCTGAGGTTAGTCTAGAGATGAGACTCTGGGTTGTGGTTAACTTAGGGAAGACACTCTGTATTGGTGGTTATTTTTGAAAGAGACTCTGGGCTGGTGGTCATCTTGAGAAGAGACTCTAGGCTGGTGTCATCTTGAGGAGAGCCTCTGGGTTGGAGGCTATATGAGACTCTGGGCTGAGGTTAATCTAGAGATGAGACTGGGCTGGACTCTCTTAACTTAGGGAAGACAATCTGAGTTAGTGGTTATTTTTGAAAGAGACTCTGGGCTGGTGGTCATCTTGAGAAGAGCCCCTGGGTTAGAGACTGTCTTGGGAGGAGACTCTGGCCTGGAGTTATTCTAGGAAGGAAACTCTGCATTTGGGGTTAATCTAGGGATGAAACTCTGGATT